CCCTCTTCTTCCTCATTAGCACCTAGTGTTGCTGGTTGCCAGCAGGTCCCAGTACACATGTACTGCAGCCACTGTTGAGGGAAGATTCCTCTCTGTCATGCTCTCCCGTTTGCCTTTTAACTTCCTTCTTTCTTACCTGTAAGTGTCAGGTCAAATTGCAAAGGTTTCCTATCACAGGCAGCACTTCCATGGGGAAGGAGGAATTCTTGCTTGGGGGTGCAACACAGCTCCCCTGACTCTGAATGTTCTCAGCACTGACTGGCCCATGTGCAGTTAGCATTCTTTCCACAGTTTCTGTGGAAATGTCAACACTGCTGCCCCAGCAGGGAAATGGCTTTTCACCTCCAGGCTTTCACAGAGGGCCATAGTGATTAGAAAATGAATCATTTTATAAAGATAATACTTTGCATTTCCATAGCAACTTTCTTCCCAAGATCTCAAAGCACTTTACCCAGATAAGTGAATGACATGGGAAGGTGTTGTGTACTCCAGGAATATGACACACTTGATTCTCCTTTAAATCTATTAGCCTGAGACATATTTAAATTGATTTTACTTCTCTAACTTCACAGAAGATGGCTAGTCTGCAAGTTCTACCCTCCCCCACCATCCGCATCTATCAATGGTTATAATCTGTGATTAAAGACTTAAGCAGGATAATGTGAAAACATAACAGATTTATTAGACAACAAGATTTAAACAACAAGGACCCCAAACATATACAGAACAAATAATAATAGTTTGATTGTTAATAATGATGTTGTTGACATGAATTCCAGAGTCCCAAAACCCTTACACAATAGGGGAAACTGAGGGACAATAAAAGGCAATCACAGTACTATCTCTCTCGCTGATCCAAGGGAGGAACCCTGTCGTGACAAGACAATGATGACCGGTTCCCTGGACTGGAACTGGAACTCAGGAACACAGGAACAGAAGCCGGAACACAGAATTCTGGAACAGGTGATCGCTCAGGTAAGTGGACAATGTCCTCTTCTTCCTCTACCTTCTGTTCTTGAAGGCATCGTCCTGTGTGTGGTATGCGGACTCTTCTTTCTTAGATGTGTAACTGTTGCATGCAGGTAAGTCTTGAAGCTGGAAGCTAGATGGAACCTGAAATCACTAACAAGTCCTGGTTGGGCTGGGCTCTAGCTCTTGGCTGCTTGTGTAGAAGACTGAGTGCCATTCTGAAGGACAGCCCAGAGTAACGGTTATGCTACCCTTAAATAATCTGTAGTTGCTGGGCAGACTAGGCTGTTACATGACTTAACCTTTTCCCGCTCTAATTTGAAAAAGGCAAAAAGGGTGCTAAACTCTCCATGAAGGAGGGTGTTCAAGATGGAGACCTAGTTGTTGTTTCAATAAATTCAAGATGGCGAATGGGGAAACCATAACAAACAGATTTTAACCTAACACTTTTACTTCAATTTTACACCAGCAGAACTCCACTGACTTCACTGCAGTTACTCCTGACTGTTGTGAGAGGAAAATCAGGGCTACAGCATATGAAAATGCCATCCTCCACAGTGGGCACTGATGAGGAGCTAAGATCTTGAGTATGTCTTGGAGTTAATACTACAGAGTTTGGTCTGCCAGAGAGCTGGATGTTGATGGGACATAACATTACAACCTCATTCCCATGCAGGCAAATATGATGATGATGTTGAAACCTTTTAAAATATTTTCTTTATTTCCCCCATGCCCACCATACAATTGCTTCATGCTTTCTGATCACAAAATATGTGACTATCAAAATTACATAGGGCAGAGTTCCCAATCTGAATCCTAGTGGTTTGCAGAGCACTTGCTGGTGGTCCATAACAAGAAAGAGCTGGTCACATGAGGCTGGATCTCACCTTTGCTTTCAACTGCTAAAACACATGAATAGTTTCTAAGTAAACAATTGCTGTGATTGCAAAGGGGATGAGGATGATGTATGATCATGACTGAGAATGGTTTTGGTCTTCACAACTGTGAATAGGAGAGGTGGTGGTCCCTGGAGCACTCTCTTTAAGTGGTTCACCTTCTGAGAATGTTTGGGAATGTGACAGGATATATTAAGCCCAGAGGCCCCCTGCTGGAGCCCTTACAGTCCTACACATGCCGTCCCAGAAAGGAGCAGTAGAGAAGTCCTCCAGGCTGCCTACCGTGGCTGTGGGGGAAGTAGCCAATCAGAAGGAGGCTGCAGGGAGCAGCCAATCCAGGCCCAGCAGGGCCATATAAAAGCAGTTGCAGGGCTCACTTGAGTAAGTCAGTTGCTCCCTGGAGCTGGAGGAGCATAAATGGTGTTCTGGCTGCAGGAGGTATAGGAGCATGGACAGAGCAGTTGCAGGCAGGGACTGGGGAAGAAAGAAGGTGCTCCTGACTGGCTACTGGGACTGAATACAAGATTTCACCGGTAAGGGTGAAGCGGTCGTGAAGGTGCTGGGGCTGTGGGAAAGTGGTCCAGGCAATGCAGTTTAGTTAAAGGGATGCTGTGGCTGGCAACTATTTGTAGGGGCCTTGGGCTAGGACCTGGAGTAGTGGGCAGACCAGTCCCCTCATTAGCCACTGTAGAAGTGGCTGGAATACTGAACTGTGCTAAAATCTCAGAAGGGGAAGTGAACTGGTAAGTGGCCCAGCTGGAGAGCTAGGATCAGAAAGACCCAGAGTGGGCGAAGAGTCTCCAGAGAGGAAGCCCTGGGGGCATGGCCCCATACCAGGGTCGAGGGACATTTGAAGGCTATGGGACTGATAAGGACTGAACCCAGGGAGGGCTATAGGAAGAGATGTACCATGATGGGGCCCTACTGGATTCTTTACCTCAAAGGGGTTTGCTTGTGTTTCACACAGACTGTGTGTGACTTAGCAAGAAGGTTGAATCACCGAACACCCACCTGAACTGAGAAAAAAGCAGGTTCACGTAGCAGTTGACCAGGGAGCTTTCTCATGAGGTGAGTGTACCCCATTACAGGGAACCTCAGTGATAGAGGATCTCTGGTTCCAAGTAGCTAAAATGTATTGAAAATATTGACTTTTTTTTACTGACCACTTTTTGTTTTGTTCTTTATTTTACAAATATGGGTCCTGCTCCTGCAGCAGGATCTACTATGGAGCCCCCTTCGTGCAAAGCTCTCTTAAAAATATACAAAACAAACTTATTTGTATTTTTGATCCATTACACTAAAATTTCAAAGATAGTGCAAAAAATTGTAAAGTAGATAGTCTTTATAACACACACAAACAAAACAGAACATTCTTTTTCACTTACTGTATTTCCTCATCAACAATCCTATTAAAATGATTTACAGTTTATCTGTACACTTACTAATTGTTCATATCAAAAATATTTCTTGGTTGTGGCATACTACAGTGTGCATTACATCTAATTAAAATTCCAATTTATATGATATGCTTTAGGAGGCAATGGGGCATAGTGGATGGGGCTCTGGGGTAGGAGGCAGGAGACCTGCATTGTATTCCATGCTCTGCCACTGACTGCCTCTGTTAGCTTGGGCAAGTCACTGCTCTCCTCCCCCTCTATGCCTCTATTTCCCCTCATACCCTTTGACTCTCCTTCAGTTTAGAAAGTAAAGTCATCAGGACAGAGAATCTCTTACTATGGGTGAAACCCTTGAGATGTTGAAGTCAGTGGGAGTTTTGCTATTGACTTCAGAAGGGCCAGGATTTCATCCTGTATGTGTTCAAATAATAATTAATTTGTCCCCTTCCCCAACCAAGCAACAGGTTTTCTTTTCTATTTCTGCCCTCTATGGTCTTCTGGGATTGTCAGTAATATCTAGATGTGGTACCTGTGAAATATGTGTGGGTTTAAGTTGTCTGCTATCTTCCTCTATTGTTATTTACCAGCATCACTGAGAACAAGTGAGTTTAAAAAAAAAATGGAGCTTCTGCACTAACTAATTAAAAAAAAATCACCTGCTGTTCAAACTCTTGTATTGCAAAAATCCTTTGTCTGGTTAACCTCTCTCTCTTTCTTTTCTTTTTTTAAGTGGGGGCAGCAGACAACACATGAGGAAACAGGAGGCAGAAAGGAGACTTCTTTCTGAGCAATTTAGGAGGGATGGAGGCATATAATGTTATAGGACAGTCTCTTTTATGGACTCAATAGTGCAAGGTACTCAGCAAGCCTGGGAGGTGCTGAATACTCAACTCCCACTGGACCCTAAAATATGGAAAAAGAAGAACAGGAGTACTTGTGGCACCTTAGAGACTAACAAATTTATTAGAGCACCTTAGTCTCTAAGGTGCCACAAGTACTCCTGTTCTTCTTTTTGCGGATACAGACTAACACGGCTGCTACTCTGAAACCTAAAATATGGAGCACTTGTAACTATTAAGGCACAGCAATCAATTGGGTATGCAGCCTTCTAGTTTGGTTACATATTCTGTAGATTTCCACCCCCCCCTTCTGTTTGGAATAACCGCCCCTGCCCCCGAGCATGTTTTTGAGCATTACTCATGGTCATTGTACTTGAGAGAGAGAATTCATCTCCTTATTTTGCAGGTGGGGGCCCTACATTTGTTACTTAAGCTACAACAATACATTCTGTTTTCTTTCATTTGGGGTTTGCAGCTTTATGGTGCAATCACCACTCTTCATTTGTTGGCCGGAGTGGAATTCTTAGTCCAGTCTTGATACATACATAAAACAGTAGTAGTAGTCATTCCAATACACCACTGGATATAGGCAAATGCTGTACTGCTGGTGGAAATGTTTGCCTATATGTTTGTCTTCCTCCGTTATTAAAGTACATAGGGCCCAGATCACTGTTATACGTTATTTCTCTCATCATCCCATTAAAACAAATGGAATTACTGTCATAAGGTACTCATAGACTTTAA